TGACAATTCTTCTGATCTTTGTTCAGCTTTATCGAACATAATCTCCAGTCTAAGAACAAAATTCTTATGCTAAACACCTAAATTAAAACTCAAATACTTACTTTGAATTATGTTGCCAGCCTGCCAAGACGAGTTCTTTGCTGAGTCCATGGGGATTCAAATCATTAAGATACAGAGCTTGATCGGTCAAATCATCCAGATCATTTATCCTAAAAATCTTTACATCACTTTGAAATAATACATCAACCAACAGGTGTACAATTCAAAAGTTACATGTTCGGTATTCCGTCTTGGTTTCATGCCGACAACAGTACTTATTACACCAATTTTTGTGCTGAATAATTTAATCTCAGTATACAGATGTTTTGTCTGTAACAAACTTCATGTTTAATAACTTACAATGGCACTTACACTGGACTACACAGATAGAAAACAGCATTGACGTCTCTTATGTACTTCATTTGACCCTTGAGCAGAATATTCTTTGTCCCTGGTAGGGGTGAAGACGTACCTTCTTCATCATCCCTACTCTCATTCACTATTTGTTCTTCTTCGTTGAAATTAACTATACCTCTGTTGCACTCCATCTCAAACATTACAGATTGTAGATTTAGGGTCTGTATCAAACATAATTTCTCATTTTAAAGGCAGGAAAATCTCATTTGCGGCAATTCGGCATCGCTAAACCCTATTCAATGTTATTTACGCCGCGTTAAATCCAAAGTGGGCACCAGATCGTTAATTTCTTATGACACTATAGGACGGTAGGCTCGGTATACACCATGAGCCAATAAGAGCAACCGAGCAGTCATTTATACTTTGACGCTCCGTAAATGTCATTTGACAGTATGAAACCCGCTAAGTTTCAAATCCGCCAATTGTACCTCGCGGTGCATTATCGAGGGCATTGTTTTTGACCCGCACTTGAGTTTTTCCTTTGACTCTGCGGACCATTCCTATTCCTACCTGTGCCATAATAACTCGGTAAGAAAACACGAATTTCTCAAAACCTCAAATAAATTCTATTATGAATGAACATTTGGATTTAGGTAGTTCAAGTATACCTAGTGTTCCTTAGCCTAACAAAGAGCTTAGGATCCTACGGTTATCAGACTTGTTACGATCATTCAAATATCGTTTATAGCAAAACATTACTCTAACAATTTGATTGCTCCGTTTTTAGTATTTTTAGCTGTTGTTGACACTGGAATGATAAAGTTAATGTGAATATCTTTAAAGATTTGCGACAAAACCATTTAGCCAAAGCAGAAGCTTGAAAAGAAATAGAAAAATGGTCATGCTACTTTAATCGAAATCCAGCATCTTCAGCCTGAAAAGTGGTGATTCTGTCACTGAGGCACCAAGTAGATAGTTCAGGGTAGTTATCGGAGGTACCGTTTCTTATTTCGACCCTAATGTTTTCTGAATCTTTACAGATTCTTGCTATTCTTACCTATGGCGGTCACAGAATCCGAATAGCCAATCTTTTTCGATCTTGTCTATAAAATATATGAAATTGACGCATGTTATACAGGTTGTTTGATAATTAGGCAAACATAGTGAAATGGTAGGTGGTATGGACAAGACCTTTTCATAAATGCAAATAAAAAGACCTACATTCAGTTACGCATATATCAAATCACACCAATCATTAATACCGTAACGCCTCCGTATAACTGGAACTCTGGCTATCAGCGGATACCGTCGTACGTTGACTAGAAGATTTGATAGGTGTAGAGTAGAACAATCGACACGTCTGGAATAAATCTAGTGCATCTAGACCAACGTCATGGAAGTTCATGATCGGGCAGGAAACGCTGGAATATTTCTCGACTCATTGATAGGGGAATAAATACTCGACTAGATATCAGAAGCAGTCGGTCATAGATGGTGTTTAAATCTACAATTAAAAAATCTAACAAAATACTAGTTTACTTACTGAAAACATACGTTCTGATGTGAGCTAGGATTATACTCGTAGTTTTAACATCGTCAACCAATATCAATAAATCAAGGGACCGCATTGGCGAAATAACGACGCTAGCGGCTCGCCGCCGCGTTTGTGCCTGTGAATTCGTTTGGGTTTGTGAGAGTAGAAGGAATTTGTCATCGCGTGAGAGTAACTGGACTTTCTAATAAAATTAACCTAACAAGGAGCATATCCTTCCATGGAACATCGCTTTATTCATGCATCAATTTCATTACGTTGAATATCGGCTTTCTAGCTTAACCTGTTCATAAAATAAGCATGAAAAAACTGTTTAGTACCTTCAAGGGAGTATTATTTTCTCTTCTTCATCCTGTCGTCTTTTATGTTTTATATCTACTACTTCTCTCAAGACATTGTTAAATTTAAAATGATTACTACAAAAGGTCGATATTTATGTGGTATATTTGTTTTCTAAAAAAATCTACACAAGTTGTATGTCCTAAAATTGCACTTACCTCAAAAATGTTTCCCAAGATGGAGATAAATCCATCAGATGCCCTAAGTCCCTCATACGAGCACTCATGATATGCCTAATGGAATATCTACAAAACAGGCTGTAGCTCATATATCAATTTAGTTATGAAACTTCAATTAGAACGTATTCTATATATCATATTTATAGGACCGTAACAAGAAAATCGAAAATTGAACAGCTCTGCAATAATATTTTTCAGTCCCTGAACTGGATCTGGAACTTCTCGTTAGGCTATCCTTAGCCTATTAATATAATACGTCAATAACCTAAATCCAAATTTTCAGTCATTATAGAATTTTTATTAGGTAACTTGCCAATAAGGGGTGTAGAGATTCAATTATACTGTCTCAGGCGATCTGAATAAGCTGATTGTTTTGACATACGCCGTAGCGAAACTCCGTAGGATTTTTTTATGGAAACTTGTGAAATCAATTTGTGTGCTCTAATAAGTATCTAAGAGGTTGCCATCATACTCTGGCACACCTACATCCATTAATGCGACCATGTAATGAAGCCACAGATGATGAATGAATGCCTGATATTTAAGCTGACAAATAGATAATAGATAATAATAATAGTTTCAATAGCAATTATACATTTTCAGAACTCCTACCTTCAAGAAGTCTGCTGTGACGTCAGGGGCCGGTTTTGCACATTAATTGACAATATTGGGCCCTGAAGCGTTACCTCACTTGCGTACCGCCCTGCATGACATTCAAATAAAGTTAACAATTCATGACCTGTGGATGCATTCATTCGTCAGATGATGTAAGCGGAACAGATCTTCAAGCTTCTCTTGGTAAGAATATACGTACGTTCTTCCAGTTGAATGTGATCCCTGTAGGGCGTCTCAATCTAAAAAAGTTGGTCAACGGTTTATCGAAAAACGATTCTTTCCCGCGCCATATTTCTGAGAATCTCTTCCCGCAATCTGTAATGTTCATCCCTTCGTCTAGCACAATACAAACGGGAACAGATCCAATAACATGCCGTAAGAGAACGGTTGTAGTGATTTTGTTTCATGAAAGGTCTCCTTCTGGGCTTTGTGCATCATCTGAAATGGACAATTTTTAATAATGATATGAAACTATCAGTTGAAAAAAAGAGATATGGAGTTTGTCAAATTGAAGTAACGTTTCATGTAATATATGTATATGCTACAGGTAAAATCCGTTTTTAGTTATAACTCATTTTCTCTAATTAAAACTAAGTTCGACTATGTGTCTATATTATAACTAGTATTTACTGCTCATGTATACCTAAAATTCCGGTAAACCTAGAACTAACATTAAATCTTATTTGAAACTAGTATCGGATACAGTTGTTGGGAATTCTAAATAGGGGTATTGTTAATTAAAATATGAAATCGCAATTAATAAATAATGTTTATTAATCAAGAAGAATAACAATAACCGTACATCAAAGCAATATTAGGTAATACCAAAATACAACAGTAACGCCATGGCGACAATATTAATTTCGAGTAATAAAGTTAACCATAGACATCAAAAACAGCTTAATAATACAAACCAACCAATCTGATTCAAAACTACTTATAACCCGGTTTAGACAGTTTAAGTGAATCACTTTGACAAAACAGAACTAGTTTTCGCTTATATTATTTTTAATCAACAGTTAATTCTACAAAGACACTTCGTGAAAACTTGTTTCAACTAGGGAAAACGCGTTGTTACTAACGAGTCTTAACTATGTTATACATCAGAAAGAGGCACCTAGAAAATTTCATAATTCAGAGGATGTTCAGGAATAAGGAAGATGTTAGCATTATAGAAGACTTCATTCGAAATGAGGATCTGATAGGTGTACACGAAGTTTGAATGTCTAACAAAATTAAGTATACTGATGATAAAGGTATTTTGGAGTACCAGCGGTTTCAACAGAAAATAATTAACTACGAGCTCATATTGGTATATGTTAACGTTCCTTAGCACCTTTTTGTTTACATCCAGCTTTTTTATTGCGCCTTTATTATTTCCTCACAATAAAACTATTTTCTGCATTTAGATCCATGGACAATGCATATGCAGCCGAAGATTGTATGACCGGCAAATGGTATGTTACCACAACAGTTCTGGGTGGGATTTTGCGTTCCTGGAAGATGTTTGGTGTTTTCAGGATTAAGAAAAGAGAGATAATCCGATGCTTGCTTGTCGCTTTGGGAGCTGGATGTGTTTTTGTCTTTTGAGGTGGTTCTGCGCATTGCAGATTTCAAGCGGTGCCATCTTAAAATTGTAATGATAGCGATATGGTACAGGACCATTCAAGGAAAGAAGAAATAAGTAAACTACCACCTGGAAGACATATAAATAAAATATCTGTTGTTGTCATTGAACTTAAAAAAGGTCACAGTGGTGGCCAAAACGTCGTCACTAGAAGTATTCCAAACAGCATAACTGTGTGGCATAATTTAGCGGCTAGAAAATAGGCTCCTATCAACACGAAAATCACTGGATCAGTTTCAGGTGCTACATTCTACTGAAATGAATTTCAATTGTTCCTAAATCTGCGATCCAAAATCATGTGCACTTTATTACCCTTGGTACGCGACATTTTCTCAAAACATCTTGTGGTCGAAAGTATTTTTTTTTGCCAAATGTGGCTGAAACCGAAGCTTCTGTCGGGCCCCACTATTGAGGGCATCGTAGTGGTCTAAAGCCACTCAAGATATTTTGATTCTTTTTTTATATATATTTCTACTGTCAACGCACACAGGAAGTACGAATTCGGTCAGAAGAAAAAACACGAATATAACTTTACAAATCGTCATAACCACTGCGTGGTTAAACTCATTGACATGCAGAAAATATCATATATTTTATTTTTTTCACATTGCTTATATTGTTTGTATATAGTCGAATACATTTTATCCGCTTTCACGAGGAATCTTACTGTCGATGTGCCGTCCCTGCGACGCTAAGCGCGTTCTGAGAACTAATTGTCCGTAAGAATCTCTAAAACCTAATAGCTCATTTTAGTTTTTCGGTGGTGCGGATCACTCGCATACGGTAGAATATTGATATTTTTGTCACAGGAGCTCGCGTAGACTGTTAAATAATTTCGTGGAAAGTTGACATAGATGGAACTCATTTTGCCACGGTACGATGTGTTATGTTACCCTCTTTCCTTTTGGCACTCAATTATTTAAATTAGTGGCTAAATTTTATCAACTTGCATATTTGTTAATGCTATGGTGTTATGCTTTTTATCCTACCAAGAGGCAGATTGGAGATTGGAGACTCTACAACCAGCTATAAACTTTAGATTGATCTCTACTCGTGAAATATCAACATACTCGTACAGAGGTGCGGTATTTTAGAAAGTGATGTATGGATACTTCTGGAAGTTATTTTTACTTACATATGGTTTGTTGTCAAAATCTAGTCTGAAGGTTACTATGACATAGTTGCGAGTTGAAGTAGCTGATGAGCTTTTATCCAAAACTCTCACTTTCAAAGCCAGTTTGAAGAAATCCTTTGCAATTTGCTGTAGTAGACCTGAAGACAAACATGACATCTGTGTTAATGCTGATTACAGAAATACGGAGTAATATCGATAAATTTTTCTAAAATATAGTTTTAAGATGGAATGAACTGGTAAAGGCAATCGTCATGATCATACCCATTATGTATTGGGTGAATCCAGATCTTCTACTCCTGTATACCAAAACACATCCATTTTCATCTATGTCTGTCAGATACATCGAAGGGCTCTGCATTTTGGGATAGGTGAATCGAAACTGAGAATGAATATTGTCAACACTCTCCAGGAAATCTGCGAAGTACCGTCCTGTTGCCTTAATCGTGATGTCATAACTAAGAAAAGTTGAATAATATTATACATCTTCTCTATTCTAGAAAGCAACGTATTAGTCCGGGATTTCATGTATGTGTATTGATAATGGAAAAAGAAATCCGCGCAGTGCAGTGATGCAAATTTCAATATTATTCCTAGATATTAGCTGTTTGATGAAAATTGTATTGGGTAAACAAGTATTTGGTTTTAGTCGTAAAAGTCGAACCGCTTCCACTTGCCTAGATCTAGTATAAAAAAATCGTAGGAAACATTTTAAGTTCGAAAAAGAAATGGGGAACAACTAATAAAAAGAAATTGAGTCCTTCTAGAATGGCTAAAGCTGTCAGTTATTAATGCCTTTTGAAATATTAAGATGACATGCAAGAAGTTAGAAAGCAGAAATTGTGTGCCCAAGTATGAAATTTTTGTGGCTGAGTATGCAAGATTTAAGAAATTGCTTGTTTTAATAATACTATTAACAACAATTTAGGAACTCGTCAACCATATAATGCTTATTATTACAAAAAAACAACATACTCATAGCTACTTTTCATATTTTTATATCAATAACAAAATGAAAGTCGAGTTTTGGGCCATTTCCTCAATATTTTAACATAAGAGTAGCGGTTTAAAATTCCAAATGACGGCTGAACGCCATCTTACATTTTTCATATGGAGTGAGGGTCATGTAAAAGATCAATTTGATGCTCATAATGAGTATCTATTTAATAATACTGAAATATGCTGCGTCACAAGAGACCATTGTGTCAAAGGAGTGGTCACCCAAGTGTCCCATCGATCCTTTTCTAGCTTTTTATTTAGGACAATGCCAAACATCCTTATGAAAGCAAACTCGTTACCTCTAAAAATGAGAAGAAACTGTTTCGGTATCTAAGAACAAACCCCAATTCCAACGCTTCATCGCCTCAGCGGTCACCTTCATATGAAAGCTGCCGAATCTGCCATTTTATTAGCAGAGCCTGTGCAAAGTTTAGTTCCTGCCAGGAGATGTATTGAACCACTTGAGAATTCTGAAGATATATTCCTTCCTGGTAAAGATGGGATCACGGCTGCCGTACTTAAAAACTGCGCTTCAGCACTAGCATTACCGCTAAGCTTGATATTTAAATATGTTGCCCCTATAGTCAAAAAGGGTGACAAATCCTCCGCTAAAAATTATCGTCTAATAAGTATCGTACCCAAATTGCTCAACGAGTCATATTAGATAAGGCTATTAACATTTGCTTTCGAAAATGATCTCATCCCTAACATCAGCACGGATTTTCAACGTCCTTCTCCACTGTCTCAACGATTGAACACAGATTCTAGACACGAACTCTCCAGTCGACATAATACTCGTACATCTAGACTACTGTAGGGCTTTTGATCGCGTTTCATATTGAAGACTTCTTATCAAGCTGGAGCGTCTTCGAATTAGAGGCGAGTTGTTGCACCGGGAGAACTTTTTTGTGCGCGTCAGTGATCGTTCTTCCCTCCACCATGTGGCAAGAGGAGTTCCTCAAGACTCAGTCTTGGGTCCCATGCTTTTCCTTTAATACACAAGTGACCTGCCTGCCTTGTTGTCCTCCACATGTTCTGCTTATGCCGATGACCCGCGAAGGTTTACAGCACCGTTGTAAACTCTGCTCTGCTTCAGCGAGATCCTGACTTTGTTCGTCGATGGTCAGACAGTTGGCTTCTACCCTTGAACCCATCGACGTAATTTGAGACAGTGGTGTAACTTTGTATCTTTGTAGCACCATCTTCTAGTAATACCAAAAAGTTGTGAACTAAGACGCAGTGTTAACAGTTTAGTTTTGCACATGGTTTGCTGTGACATCACAACTTGTTACTTGTTGAGAGTTAAAAATATTTTTAGTAGTGCGAGAAAAGTGCTTACTAACATTAAGGTAAGTTACTTAGAACAATGTCTGATATAAATTTAGTGTTTACAAATACCTTATTTATTTTCCTTTACATTATTCTGATTTTATTAGGTACATAACTTAAATATGCTTGTGTAAACTTTCTAACGGAAAATTTCTAATTTGAGATACACAAGTGTTCCTAATTTCATACTATCTCAAATTAGGGCCACGTATCGAGAGATTTATATTTTATTATCTTTTATTATTCTTATATTGCAGATGCCCCAAAACACAAAAAGTGGAACCTAAATGGCATAATAAAGATGGTCAGAGCTGTAAAGAATAAGGAAATGGGTTATTTAAAATCCTCAAAAGCGGTGAAAGCGATTCTGAATGTTTATTTTGTACGTGTCGATTTTCCGAAAATAAGAAGGGTGAAAAATGGACAAAATGCAGCCATTGTAGTAGAATGGGCGCATGAAGATTGTGAAGAGATTACCAATAATAATAAAATTTTCATTTGCACTTTCTGCAAAATAAATGGATTGTTTGAATAGTATCTAAAATTAAGGACCCAGCTGTAAATTCACAAAAATATTTCCTTTTTTTCCTCTATAGTATTATACTCTGCTGATTTCTCTTTTGTAATAATAATAACGAGAAATGCAGAATTTGCTGGAATTACTTTCCCACGACCGAGCTGGTGCAGGCGAATAAGCCCGTCATAGTCCTTCTCGGCTACGAACGGAAGGCCATACTCGTTATTGAATTTTCGGCACCGGCCGAACTGAACATCGTCTCAGCTTCGTAGACTCTGATGAGACCACACTGTCAGACTGCTAGTCATGATCCTTGGGTGGGATCAGGAATACACTGTTATCTGCAATTAAATCTATTCCGGTAGCCGAGCATCGGCAAGCATTTTAGCCGGAAGAATGCATAAAGCGGTCATCCTTGGTTCCGTCTATTTAGGGCATACGATTTGCGGACCAACTAGTTGCTTACCTCACGGTGTGAACAGCTTAGTGTGTCGGAGCCCAGGTTGCCTATTTTACTACTATAATAATATAGTAGTAGTGATTGGTGATGTGATGCCGGATACAATTACGCACATTGACTATTTTGCACTCATTCATCTTCCTACGATGTTGGCGTTCAACTCGGATGGCGTATTTTCAGGATTTTAGAACTTGATGATTGAAGATGACCTCAGAGAACCCCTGAGCCAACATCTCGGCACTAGGTTACAAGCCAATTTAGTCGAATACCCAATAGTGTATAAACTATTGAATTTGCGTCTCTTAAGATAAAATTATTGTCTTTTCGTGTTAGATGGATTGGAAAAAATGGACTGTAGAACAATCTTGACTACGTATACTTTCATATAAAGGATTACCCTAATTTCGAGGTGTATCTAGTGAAGCATCTTCCAAAGAAATGCATGAAGCTGTCATAAGAAACACTTGTGACCGTTGCACAAGCAGTTGCTAATGATGACAAGGTACTATCTGGATACACTTGATGAGTATTAAACACCGCGTATTCGCAGTTGGCAATTTTTCTCACATCTTCCCAGAACTCGTCCCCATATTCCAGCTGAAATTACAAATCTTCTTAATAGTTATTCATGTATCTATAGCGTCACGTGGGCGTTCATGATGGGCACGGGTAACATGCAAAAAACCTATAAAACGTCAAAAAAAACCTATAAGATGTCATCTTGCAGACTAGGTAGTTTTTAGGGCGCAGACAGTCATTCCACGTTTGCTCACTAGGATCGTTATGAACGTCCATCTATGGAGGAATCACTCAACTAAACTACACGCAATATTGGTTGCTTATGTTTTGTCAGGCTGAGTGGTCCGTGTCTGTAGTTTTTATCTCTGAGAAGAAAGTTGGTTGAATAGCAAGATCGCATCTGGATGATTATGTGTATTGGTCTGCATGTGTATAAAATCAGTGACATTTGCTCTGTAAGAAAATCATTACTGAATATGCTAAATATGATGGGTTATTTATATGTTGTGCTTTCTGAAGAGAAGTTATAATTTACGAAAAACTGATAGGAGAATTACGGGATATCATCACCGCGCCCGCGTTTTGTGTTATTACTGTTAGCATGTATATACACCTTGGGAAAAACCATTATTATACATTATGATGAGGAAGAGAGATGGAAATATACAAAAGTATGTAGGTGCGTGAAAGACACTCGATTGTAGGATCGTATCTGGCAGCGTCGGAGTGTGACAGACAACGGGGTAAAGTAGAAGAGTGATAAAGAGAGAGATGGCAGAACGGGCGCTGGCGCCTACCGCTTAGACGGATGCGCCCAACAAATGCGATTTGTTTCTCCCATTCGCAGAGTTGCCGATACCAATATGTCATATTTCTAAGAAATCTAAGTCTACCCAAATTTCGGGAAAAATAGCTGCGGATTCCACATAAGAGTATTCCAAAAATGAAAAAAGTTCAAACTATTAAAATTGTATTAATGTTTCATGGTTCAAATCATATTTTTCATGTTTGTATATTGTTGTATAAATGATTTTGTAATCCCTATTCTTGTTGACCGCTAGATAGGGCTACAACTACCATATGACTATCAAATAGTAGTGATAAACAGGGTTTGTTTATAGCACAGTTCCCTGGTGTGGCGAATTTGCGCCATAGGGGCGATTTGACAACTTTGAAGGACAACTATAACGGTTACTATGGTTCCCGGTATTCGGGAATCTGGCAATACCTGATGATTCCTAACGTTTATTACGCCAGATTGTTTGCTGACTTGCGCAGTACAACATGACAATCAACGTGACTGAGCACCTGGTAACCCTGGTTTAAGGTGTTATATTTAAAGAGCTTGGGGCAGTTAGGTATCTAGGTCACATTTTTTAATGTATTCCGAGAAATCCGTAATGTTGAGTAAATACTAGATCACGTTTCTTGCTTAGTTTGCTGAAAATTCTACAATAGACGTACATTTTGAGAAACAGAGGTGACGACAAAATCGTAAAAATATAACGCATTTTCGTAAAATAATTTTTTTGTTGAAAAGACTGTGGCTTGATGACCCATTGAACGAGTATAGTGTCCCGCTCCGCTTTGAATATTCGAAACACTATACTCCAGCAGCATTCAGCTTCAATGTTATCTTTATGAAGTTCTAACGTCTAGGCCATGCTGATTAAAAGCTTGAATGAATCAACACTTAACTCTAAATTCCCCACAATTCGGGAAGCTCTACTCAAATTGGCAACACAGCGTATCTGCCTATTATTCTCATTCGTGATACAGGTCTGCGGTTAACGGTAGGAAATATGTACGAATAGCGATGAAAGTAGACGAGCCGATGCGCTGTTGCCAAGAAATGATTTCCCATGTATAACAATGGTTTTTCCTAAGGCGTATATGGCTTGTACTTCGACAGTGTATAGTGAATATAATTATTTCTTATCTCTCTCATTTTTTAAATTCAGCAAATTTGTATATGTAATTCCCAGAATGGATAAGAAAAAGTGGCTGCGCAACTAATTTCTAGCTTTGAATCTTGACTAAGTGTATTTGAGACAAGAATCCATTGTAATTATCATCAACACATAGAACTTACAGCTTAGACCTCCAGTAATGCCATCTCTGCAGCAGATTTTACATAACATCAGAGGATCAGAGCCAAACATTGATAACTAAAACCTCATGACGTTTAGGCAACAGATTCAACTAAATGCTAAGTTAACATCTTGTAGAAAAACCTACATAATGTCAAAAAAAAAACAGTATAATGTCAAAAAAATCGATATAACGTCACTTTTCAAGATACATGATACCTGTGCCGCAACGTAAAGTTAGACCTCAAGGTACGCGATATAAACGCTCATTATACCCACAGTACATATAAAATCGCTATAGGGTAACTAAAAACACGAATTTAATTTTTAGGTGGAGATAAATTAAATATGGTTGTTGCACCCATTGCTTAGCAATAAATAAGTATACACAGTCTTCTGACCGACAAACATAGGTCAATTTACAGGTAGCGGGCGCCAAAGGTACTTTAGCGCTCTCTAGCACACAAGTCCGAGGGCTGAGAAGTAGGACTGGAGTAGTAGATGTTGGTCGGGATCGTCTATGTTATAGATTTTAGACATAATGTTCTTTTTCGATTATTTTTAACACAATGAGTACCTCTTAAGACTTTGGAGGGCATCTGGTCCGTTTCCTTTGGCAATGAATGACTGGCTCGAACACATTGATGCTTTTGACTACGAACGTACGGAAAAGTGTACTGATGAACAGGTTTCTTGGCTGTCAAGTCCCACTCTTCAGCTCACAGACACCTGTATTCCCTAGTTACTTTACCGCCCCCTATGTTTAAGTTAACCTACGCTGAATACAGTACGGTAGCCACGGCAAGTGTCCTTCTATTCGTTGAGGCGATGGTAAATTCAATTAATTTTTATGTCTTATTCCTCATAAAAGCTACTCCAAATCTTTGATTGTAGCTGACGGAAGGTAAAACGTTTTATATACCTCGGGCGTAATAAGCATTTAAATCATCTCATAGGTTCCTTTCGTAATAACCCCGCGGCAGGGGCGGCAGCTGGATAAGTTCCCACAACAGAATGATGACCTCTACTTTCGTCGATTGCTCAATAAATCACAAACACACTAGTCCATGGAAAAGAAGGATTGTGTACAAAAAAATTGTTTTAAAACAAAACGTTTCTACCTGTCTAAGTAACTAAGCCCTAACACGGTCACAACTAAAAACCTACATAGCTTACCTGTAAATAATATTGGACACTCTCCAATAACATACCGTACATGATGGACGTTCTTCCTTGAACAGAAGACTTCCTCAAAAGTTAAACTCTGTGGATCCAATGATCAAGAAGTCTCGTAATAAGCAAATGGTATCTAGATCCTTTATCTAAATTGAAGACACTGTACTTGAACTTACTTCTGGTAATGGGTTAATTTGTCTCGTAACCATTAATTGCCTTGGCATGAAAGGGAAATTAGGAACTTTATTCAAAGTGATCACGCATACTACTAATTTGGACATTTTATAGCACTAGTCGGAGCTTAATTAATTCACTTTGTAATGAGATAGATGGGATCTGCACAAACCAGGGATATGTTGTAATCGATCAAATGTTAGACTTCCAGGTAATAAGTTTTTGTTATGTTTTGCGACGTCACATAAATCCACGGTACCAATTTTCATTCTCTGCTGGTATATTGTTAAGAAGTTCCACTAATTTCTAATTTGAGAGGATTAGGTTGTGACGCTGCTTAATTTTTGTACTACTTTTCTCTAAGCTATACTATACAATACAATCCGAGATCAGTATACATATACATTAGCGAATAGAAAGTAGGTTTAGACATCCAAAATACTTCTGCTAAGGAAAAAATTAGGAAATGTCCTACAATTAGCTTAAAAAATGGCGCCAAGAAGTTGACTCTGCACTTCCCACACAACGCTGTCATCAGTTGATGAAGAATACGAACATGTAAAGCAGAGAAATCAGACCATCCTAGTCAATAGAACAGGCTCAAGCAATTAGCTCAGACATCTTTTTCATACCCTACCGATAGTACTGTTCATCTGGAAAGGTCTCCCCTCCCTTCATACTTCATCGCTCAACGAATTCAAAATATGCTTTAGACTCGGTAGCGTGGCAATCACGGAACACGACACTCATGGAGGAGTCTGTGACGTCGCTCAACACGTAAGGGCTGGTCGCTTATATATACAAATACTACAGCAAAAAATAGAGACGTACCCTCCCTCAGCCCCAAAAACCCTAAACTCACATCTTTCAATTCCCCCATTTTGTTTATGGAAATAAGTTTTTTTTGGCCTTCAACTCCGTTACGACTGGACCTAACTTCAAAAACTACGAAGTTTTTTTCGAAACCCCAGCAGTACTTTCCAAATCATAGGCGGGCCAGAGATTAGCGTACACTCGACAGAGAGACAGACCGCCAGACAAACCAACAGGCAGGCCGACAGACAAACCGACAGAAACCCTGACTGAGAAATGGTTCAGTAAACGGGATCAGTTTACCGGACTATACGCTTTTTAGCGATACTCCGCACACTAAGCCTAGAGCTTGCGTAATGACTAGCGTTAATACCTGGCAACTTAAAGAATTTACCTTCAGAGGCTTAGTTGCAGTTAGAATTAGATGTAAGAAGAAGGGACTTGGTCGTATGCTCGGCATACCTTCCTTACCATACCAGGGAGCCTCCTCCGTCTAAGGAACTGGGGGACCTTGCCTCATATTGTAGGGATTCTTGACTCGACCTCGCCTAATTTCAATGACAATGTCAGAGAAGGTAACACTGGGTATGCTTAATTTAGCTCAGGAGATTAGAGAGTGGAAAGTGTCTCTAACACCCTCTCTATCGGATCACAGGTATATACTGCTTAAGACTGATGGAGAGATTCCAGATGAATATGCTCGGAATCCTAGGCATACTAATTGGGCGTCCTTTGGTGCAGAGCTTGATAGTAAGCTTGGAGAGGTCCCATACAGCCTTTGTAGGGTCTCTGACATAGAAGCAACCGTAGAGTCTCTGGGCAGGAACTTGACGGGTCCGAATGAGGAAAACTGCCGGTTACGCAAGGTTCAAGGTAAGGGCAATGCAACCTTCTGGTCCAAGGAGTTAGAGGGCAGAAAACAAGCTGTGCACAAACTTCTTGATAGAGTTAGGCACAGGAGGGGTTCTTCCTACAAGAAGGCGTTGCAGGAATACAAAAAGGGGATTAGAAGGACCTCCAGAGAATCCTGGAAGAACTTCTGTCAGTCCATTATTGACATTCCTGCTAGATTACACGGAATCCTATGCAAAGATACTGAATCAAAATTGCGATCTCTGTCTAGTCCCGCTTTCCGAGGAAGGTACTATGAGGCTTCTGATGGATATGCACTTTCCCGATTCCACATTACCGCGAACAATCTTAGAGTGCATGCAGTTGCGCAGGTCCTCAGGGTAGGACTCCAATACAAGCACTCCCAAACGTACAAAGCATATTTTGGAAAATCACTTTCCGGAAGCAGAAATGATAGCATTTTGAGTTGGCTCATAGGTACTACCAATGAACAGGTATTTCTGGTATTTTTGTCATTTGCCCACCGCTGTTGCAATAGCATAAACACCTAATAGTAGGGGAGCCCTATTGGGAGATTTTTGTTTCTAGAGCATCGTAGCGATCTATTGTATATATTGTATTCTAATGTACAATTTTCCAATTTCTCAATTGTCCATTTTTCCATTATCGCAATTTTTCAATTTCCGAATGTTCGAAGTTGCACTACATCTTTTTCATAACAAAGCATTAGTAAATAAGTACCTTCCACAGAATAAATAAATGCCTTGTTCAGTGCAGAGTCTACGCCATTTTTGACATACCTTGATCCGATCATTAGTTCATACTCCCACCACTGTAGGATGCATTTATAGTCTCCTTGATTTTCACAGTCTTTTCTCTTCTTCAGAAAGGCTGGGGAATCTCTAGATTCCTACTGTTCCGTGTTAGCGTGAATGTAGGAAATTCCAGGCTGGTATAACAGATGATATAAACCAAAAACATGAACAATTTGATGCAAACAGATATTTGTAACATAACCTCAAAATAGAGCGCTGACACCGAACAGTAGAAAACTATATTAAAATCAAGGAGGCCATAAAGGCGTCCTACAATTGTAGGAACGACAGACAACATTAAATATAGACCTTGTCTTACAGTTAGTGGATAGGGTGAAACTACTTGGTAGAATAGAATAGAAGCTCTCCTTCAGCACCCACGCTGACATTGTATGCCTGAATTTAAATAAAGGCTATTTTGCCATATTTCATATGAACCAGTATTTAGATGCTGGGGTAGAGCTACAAGCATCAACAGAGATTTTATCACACAAAAAGATTTAGCATTAGATTGTTGTTCAATTTTAGTTTTAGCGAAAGTTGCAAGTACACATTGATTCAACATAAGCTCTTAACAGTTCCTTGTATTTACATACTCGTATATAAGTGTGCTAACTATGTAAAGCAAAACGTCAACGATTTCAGCATACAAAATTAACATCACAACAATAAGACCAGAAATTCTATTTAAAGGCAAATCGTTCTAGAACTATGACATATAAAGTCACCCCAGTTCAACTACATATCATTGTATAATACTCTACCCCGCGATCTGCGAGATATAAGAGCTATATGAAATTCAAAAATAAGGTTTTCAAGTATTTAAGTGAGAAATGTTTTTATTCTACAAATGAATTTTTAAATTTTCCTAATCTGGCTAAGCAATATATTTTTATTTCAAATTTTTTGTATAGTGTTCTAACAAGTTGCTATTTTACTCTAGTATTGACCTTAAACACTACTATAACAAAAACGTTAGTTAGCTTATTGCCTATACAATCTAGTCATAATAAAGATGTACTTTTATCTTGTTTTGTGTATAGTGTGGTGTAACAAACTCACTCTGTATTATATTCACATTTATTGCTATATTTTTACTATACCACTTTTGACATGCTATATGAAATTTAGTTTGAGATTTGGCTAAATACTACTAGGTACTACTACTATTTTCAATATGATGCCTGCCGCAAAATGGAAAGGGCTTGATGTGGGAAACGTAATAAGCAAAGTGCCGTCATTCGAAATTCGATATGTCGACCGCCACTAAATGGCGATTTTAATGTCCATGGTCGCGGCTATGACATGGATATCAAATGGAGTTGCTCAATGAAAGAAACAAAATAAGTAAATAACGTCATTCTAAATTCCATACCGCAATCGTCGCAATATATCGGTTTATCATTATATGATCTGGCTATATTGAAGTTTTGTAATGAAAATAAAATAAGAAGTTTTATGCAGTCCTATTGATGAAATGTATGAAAATTATATATAACTTACTAAACTAGTTATTTGACATCATAAATACGTACTAAGTGATAAAAAAACAAATAAAACATGCATTTCTAAAAGCGTTCGAGTTATCTGATAATAGGACGAACTAAAAATTTGGAAATGATTTTTTCGGTTGCAAATATTTAAACGATAAAGAAGCTACTTCATCTCAAATTTTCAAATAAAATCGTGTTACGCTTTGTCAGGAGGATGGAACAAGGGTGTAACATTTTTTAGTTTGAAAATTTGAGATGATTTAGCTTCATTGTGTTCAACAGTAAAAAATAGTTCATGTTATTTATACAAATGGGGCTCGCTATATTACAGACGCACTTCATTTCAGATGGTGAATACTGTACTGTTTTCTTCTTCTATGAAAGTATGAACGACACCCTCAAAAGCACTATTCCAATTTGCACTCAATTCAAAGTATAAACGAATTGTCACCCGTCACCTAGAGCCTATCACCTACCACGCGACACCTGCCATCTCGGATTATAACCTCGCTGCGGATTGCTCTATAGAGACAGAGCACCTGGAAAATGAAGAGACGAGACTTTTTAACATTCGTATAACAAGTCGCCTCAGGAGTGATTCAAAAAGAATATTCCAGAAATAATATTGTTTCCAGATTCTTTAATAGCTTCTATTTATCAGATGAATGGCACTTTTTTTTCTAGCACAGCTCGACCTTCACCTACAGAGGTACTATGCTTATATACTATTCTAGCAACAATGGGATTGATAGTATCAATATAATGTTATCGGTAAACATTTGATAGATTAAGACATTTTTCAGAATAATAGGACAAACTTGCAAGATATATATTGATATTATTGGAACAAATGATATTGATAAATGAGCTGAAGCTGAAGCGAAATGAAAACTTTAATGATTCTTCTGTTGACAAGTTATGTCATTGCAAAACATGGTAAGCAGAAAACACCATTCTATAAGCGATACCTTACTAAACCTTTATCCACCAATATTTTTTGATGTACCAGTGGAAAACTTTGGACTGCAATAAACTATATATTTTGAAAAATTACTCGAAAACACCCCCATATGGTTTCTGCGTGACCTTTTGTTATAATAAAAATGTATCATAACGTTCTCCTGCCTAAAGTATGCTAACATTTGTATATATTTTAGAGATCAAAAATGAGCAACGATCTAGTATAGACGATCTTGTCAAAAGAATCAAAGACGCTATACCAGAACCCATAGAACTGGAGAAAATCGACTTGATGGTACCTAAAAATATTAGCTTAATTTCGTAAGTAGTTGTTCTAGTATAGGTATGAGGTGGTATTTAGTGCAAGTCTGTTTTCAAAGCTGTAAATGATATAACTTTCTGTTTTTTTTTTTTGCTAAACGACTTGCATACGAAAGTTACTTTCGCTAAATACATCTGGAAATCTGGAAATTCTGTATTGTTGTTTGTATTCAACTTGACACATAGAGCTTTCTTCAGCTGAAGAGTTTTCATGTATGTCTTTTCTAAGTAAATGTTACGTCTAAGGCCCGTATCGTCAGTCATCCCTACAATGGTAGGGCGCCTTTATGGCCTCCTTGATTGTCATAGTGTTCTACTTCTCCGTGTCAGCGCTCTACTTTGAGGTTATGTCACAAACACCTGTTTACATCAAATTGTGCTTGCTTTTGAGTTATAACGTGTTTTATCAGCCTGAAATTTCCTACAATTTAAAAAGAAAACATATCTTCACAACAGGAGAGCGCTGACGCTGACACGGGACAAGTGTAATCTAGAAATTTTTGAAGGAGAGAAAGGAGTATGACAATCAAGGAGGCCATAAACACGCCCTACAATTGTAGGGACGACTGACGATACGGGCCTAAGACCTCTTCAAACAACCAACGAAGTGTTTTCGTTAAAGTAGGTACTAGATTTTTTGTAGCGGCAGCCAATTTATCTAAGCATTCTTCTTTTTAAGCGTAATCTGGTTCCACTATAGGTAAAATTAAAATCTTTAGAACTTCGGAAAGTCTTACAGACAACTGAGAGCTTGTAGTTCAATTATTATATAATCAGTAGCAACTAACAAACTTTTCGTTGAAATGAGCTAATCTATTTAAAGTCCTAGTATCACCACCTTGAGTAATTTTGGTTGGCTAATGAACAAAGTTTGAAAGAAATGATTTTTTATTAATATTTGAAAGCTCAAAGATAATAGAAAGAAATTCCGAAATATGTTCATAACAACATAACTACATTCCCTTGCAACAAAGTTGATTTAATTTTATTTTAACAATTATTTTTCTCCTCGAAAGCGAAGTAAGATACCGAGAGGTATCAAAAGACAAAAAAGTTGTATCATCTATGCATATTCCTGAAAAAATATAATTTAAAAGAGTCAGTGACGTACAGCTTTTATCAATATTATCCGAAAGACGGCTCCCCGAAAGCCACTGGAATTTATAATACCGTCTGTTAACTTAGCGTCTTATTGCAATGAATGGCACTGCGAAAATAGAACATTATTTTTTTTTAAATTTTGACACCCTGTATCAAGATAACCAGACTTTTTAGGACTCATGCTTATAGGAACGTTTTTACTATACTTATTTGGCTTATGAATGCGCCACTATAGTACGGTCATGTCATTAAGAGTCACCCTGTATGGTAGATTCCATGACGTGGCTTTGGTTTGGTGGCGTCGCCAAAATTGTCGCCACGTCAGAGTGATCTGCCATATATTTCAGTAAATTAGTTTTCCCCGGGTGCTACGCCTCGGTATCCCATTCAGGGAGAGCGGGAGGTCTCTAAACTAGAACACAGAATCTGTATAAAGAGACTCATGCGAAATGCAAATATGAGAAAGTTTACATGTTATCTTTTATGTCGTATTCAAAACATTGGCTAGACAAGGTCGGGATGTTGTTCGGAACAAGCCGTACTTCCACAGCAAATAATAGAAGTTAGGCATAATGAGCTTGACTTGCTTTAATACCATACTCATAAAAAAGCACTCAATTTTGACAACTTATAGGTCAATCACATTTGCAGACAGAGGATCAAACTTTCCGTCAAAATGAGCTTCATGTCCCATAGCTTCTCGCTATCCAAATGTTTCTTAATTTTACAAATCGTGTATACAGCGTGTTTATAAACGCAAAATTTAATTTTTTTCAAAAACTTCAAATGGACATTCTATATTTTGCGATTTGAGGTTATCCTTATTATAAGCTTCATTTTGGCATAAAATTTTTGAGAAGTTAAAATACTATCTCTTATATAATTGCAGATTCCCAGAAATTGTAATGCAAATTAAAAAAACACTACTGAATTAGTAGAAATAAAATATTTCAATGAAGGCTTGCACCCATCCACTAAACATTTTCCATTCCCAAAAATCATGTGGTATTTTTTATATTGATTTGCGATTTTTCAAGAACTTCAAATAAATCTAGCATTTAGTGTTTCAGCCCCATAAATATTTTATATCAAAATTGAGCTCATAAAAACAATAATCCAAAACCGTGATAATATAATAAGTGTTACGTTTGGATTTTTTGAGGAAAAGTAACTTTTATGCTTCCGGACAAAATATTCCATAGCTCAGTAACGATTCCAACCCTATAGAATGTTACAACAAACTTCCTTTAACGATAACTTTATTAATATGCTGAGATATACAAAGTATTTCATTTAAAGCAATATATGTTTGTTATGCCGCGAATCTATAATTTTCCTAAGTAACTTTTATACAGGGTGACTTCGAAGTTGAGTCATTTATTTTAACAGTGAGTAGATCTGATCAAAAGAAATGTTTTTTCCTTTACCATTTTTCTGGTAAAATTAAAGTAACAAAGTTATAGCCCTTTGGAAGTTTGAGTACCGCCCTGTCTCAATAATAATATCATGTACTCGTGTTTGGCAACAACGGATATAATCCGCCTTACCAGTTCATCGCATCGGAAACAAAAAAGCGAAAGAATTTGGAACGTTTTTGCAATTAAGTATTTTATTCAGTTCAGTTATACATACACTCAGTGTCTGTCGGTTAGCGTGTGAATAGTGTCTGTTGCGTGGCTCAAACGAAATAAAAAATGGCACATGTTTATGCGGATCGGTTTCCCAATCGAGTGCAACCAACCCCTCGTGCCTTTGTTAATGTAGTACAACGGGCTCGTGAATCAGGTGACTTAAGACCTCACAGGGGACCTCACGATCAAATACAGGTCCGCACTGAAATACTTGTCGGGAGGATACTTTATAAAACAAGGTAAAATTTTTTTTTTTATTTTTTTTTATTTTTACACACATATTCTGGTTTATCTTCCTTCTACAATCATTATCTGAAAATTAATGACTCAACTTCAAAGTCACCCTATATATATATATAGGTGAAAAATTAAAGCTTCCGCCTTTTGTTGGGTACTTCGACAAAATTTAAGCAAAGAGGACTCTTTATACTTTTTTTATAATTCTCTCTAGCTTTCAATGGACTTTGCCATCATCATCAGGAGCTGCAATTACAATGATAACAGTAGCAACAAAGGTGTAAAATGAATTTAAATTGACTCAACTTACAGTAGTATGTGAGGATGTTGCTAATTGTTGTTTACGTATAGGATGAGGGAAACGTCCAGTAACATGGTGAGAGCTGGATAGATTGTACAGTAGTCAAACTTATATAAAATATGACAAGAACAAGTTAAAAACAGATTAAAAATTATTTAAAAAATTAAAGCATTACATCGTGAAGCCACTTGATGATTGCACAAATTAGTGGTCATGGAATGATGAGTGACATGAAACCCTTTGACAGAAGGCCGAAGGATGTCAATGTCAGTATTGAAAGATGGAACGAATTGTGGGCGTGTGCCAAAACGTTGCCAAATCACTTCAGATTATGAGATTTTCAGAATTTTATGTTAGAATTTGTTAAACCGACCAGAGGCAGTTGAATAAACTATATTATTATTAATGGGAATTTAATTAACAATTATTAATAAATCGTGAGGAGAGAATTATTATATTTTGAGTGGAATGAAATTTACTGGTGGAATCGGCCAAAACACAGATTCTAATTATGGTTGTGAAGAGTTGAAATTTGGGGAGATATGTAAGTTCTCCAATTTTTCGCAGTTTAGCAAATATGAGTAAATGACACTCAGTTGTTTAACATCTGTCTTTTTGTTGATACAGTTGTTATTCATGAAAATGTGGGACATTTCCAGGAATAAACGTTTGGAAAGGTGTTTTTCTTTATTATATAATATAAAGAAAAACACCTTTTTTTCTTTATTATATAATATAAAGAAAAACACCTTTCCAAACGTTTATTCCTGGAAATTATATAATATATATATATATATAAATATATATAAATATAAAGAAAAAAAGGTGTTTTTCTTTATATTATATAATAAAGAAAAACACCTTTCCAAACGTTTATTCCTGGAAATGTCCCACATTTTCATGAATAACAACTGTATCAACAAAAAGACAGATGTTAAACAACTGAGTGTCATTTACTCATATTTGCTAAACTGCGAAAAATTGGAGAACTTACATATCTCCCCAAATTTCAACTCTTCACAACCATAATTAGAATCTGTGTTTTGGCCGATTCCACCAGTAAATTTCATTCCACTCAAAATATAATAATTCTCTCCTCACGATTTATTAATAATTGTTAATTTAAATTCCATTAATAATAATATAGTTTATTCAACTGCCTCTGGTCGGTTTAACAAATTCTAACATAAAATTCTGAAAATCTCATCATCTGAAGTGATTTGGCAACGTTTTGGCACACGCCCAAAATTCGTTCCATCTTTCAATACTGACATTGACATCCTTCGGCCTTCTGTCAAAGGGTTTCATGTCACTCATCATTCCATGACCACTAATTTGTGCAATCATCAAGTGGCTTCACGATGTAATGCTTTAATTTTTTAAATAATTTTTAATCTGTTTTTAACTTGTTCTTGTCATATTTTATATAAGTTTGACTACTGTACAATCTATCCAGCTCTCACCATGTTACTGGACGTTTCCCTCATCCTATACGTAAACAACAATTAGCAACATCCTCACATACTACTGTAAGTTGAGTCAATTTAAATTCATTTTACACCTTTGTTGCTACTGTTATCATTGTAATTGCAGCTCCTGATGATGATGGCAAAGTCCATTGAAAGCTAGAGAGAATTATAAAAAAGTATAAAGAGTCCTCTTTGCTTAAATTTTGTCGAAGTACCCAACAAAAGGCGGAAGCTTTAATTTTTCACCTAACTGGTCTAGACGACAATGACCACGTCTCAAGTTATATATATATATATATATATATATATATATATATATATATATTGTATAATAAAGGAGCTATCGACCAACTACACACCAGAAAGTCTTACTGACTTTTTTCTCCCCATATCCTCAAAATCAAAAAGTATAATATCTAATTTTTATGTTCATCGTCATGGCCCGGGGGAGCAGCACAAATCTCAGCTCTCTTGATTATGTTTTCCACACTATTTGGTAGGTTTTGGAAGGAATATTTTGCCTAGATCGTCAGTTGCTGTATCATCCTTGGTTGGTTAGCATATATCTTATATTTTAGAAATTCGACAATGTTTGGGCATTAAATGTTATGTTATTGAGGCCCAGATGACATCATCTAGTTGGCTTAATGATGAAACGTCCCGAAAATTACTTCTCACGCCTACTGACAGGGAAGTTTTGTAACCGCAAAATATTCCGAAAATAGATGTTAGATGATGATTATGTACCTAAATCACGAAAAGCTATGTCACTTATCTCCGTCGGTCTTTCTTATAACCGCCTATTACTTGAGAAGTACCTCTTGGATTACGATGCAATTTTTATATAATGTTAGGCTATGCCAAGGAAGCAAAAGCTATGTAGTTCTTGAAAATATGTCCTGAGGTAGCGGCGAAAACTACCAAAAACGAAAAAGGAAATCGCCCAAACTTCGTTTTATGACGTTTCACGGGATCTAATCATTTTTAAAAAATGAGATATAGAAAAACTTGGGCTACGGGTTATAGGGGGTGGAGAGGGCTTATATCAATTTCTTGATGTTAGTACATGTATACGCTCTCAACCTTCGCATACCTACCGGCCGCGACTGCTGTTGCCGGCGGCGTACCGCCACAGCATGGTGTTTCCTAAGCTCTGACCTCGTTGCCACGTCTGACTGAGTAGTAGCACCTGGAGGAGGCGGCCTCTTCAGATGCACTACAGGTAGGGCAGGGAAAAATGTGTATGGACCTGTTTGACTCACATTTTTTCAGATGGTCTAGTGTATGCTGAATATAATCGTTTATAAAGTAATAACGGCGTTGCGTGGTAAATGCGGAGCCAACCTACTTGACGCTATTTTTTTTAAGACCTTGCAGGTAATTCTCTCGCTACTACTAGCGAATGTAACCATCATATGATGTGAGAAATGTGGAGGTGCGGCATTTACATGATATCATTTGTCATACATAGCTTCTAACTTTCCCTAAGAAATCGACATAAAAAGTTAACTCCACTTAAGGGGTTTAAACTTCGCCCAAATAAAGACATTATGTTTATTGTTATTTTTTTATTTCCTTGTAAAGGTATTGGTGAAACAAATCAGCAACTAATCCCCCATCCTTGTCTGGCCAGTTATCGACATACATTTTAAAAAATATTCTACTGGTGCTTAGTAGGTGCATGTCAAATTTCATGAAAATATCTGGAATAGTATTAAAGTTATAAGAAAACGATTGTTTTCTTGGAATTTAACAACAAATAGCTCAAAAGTTAAGATGTTTAGGACATATATTCATATAGACTTTTCTTCCTAAGCTGAGGAGCTAATGAATTATTCTGTATTTTTAGCCATCAATCAAATTACAACCCTGTATAAACAACAGGATAAGTTCCAGATGTTACATTAAGTCATCAGAAAAATGTTGAATTTGATATTTAAATTGCTCAATGGATAGAGTTGTGCTATAAATGAATATATAGATTTAAATGTTTTTAGGGGGTCATTCAATGTAACCAACTTCACTGCTTCAGGATTGAAAGCATTCACGTTTGAACGTCATCCTGCCTTCCTCCCTATCCCTACTTCTCTAGTGATAGGCTTAAAGGCATTATCTTTGGATACAAAATATGCCATGGATCTTCCCCTTTTAAAAATTCCACTGTTAAGCGTCTTTGGTGATGGAGCTATCAGGTAAAAGCTTAAATTCACTCTAGAGGGCCTTCGATAGAAGTCGGATTCAAATAAACAGCTCCGATATTTCGTACCGGCAAAACTTCAATTTACTCCACGCCACCTTATGTGTAAGATCATATTGGGGCGTTTCACGTGATGCAAGCGACAAAAAAAGTTTTTAAATTCGTTTATGTTAGGTAAAGTAGGTGAGAAAAAGGAAACACGATTTTTTTTTGGTGTCGTTTATTTAGCGGAATGACCTTTAAAACCCGATAATCTCTCCACTGGATGGATTTTTGCTATTTCCTTGCGTTTTAAATACTGTATATTATCAAGTTTACCTATTTGATCTTCATCTTTTTTAATTCTTTGTTCGCCAAGTTTCTGTGGAGTTACCGGCCTTCGTGTAGAACTCTGTTGGAAGATGTGCCAATATCGATAAGACGAGAAATATGGCTATAGCTGGATAGTTGCTCAGCACACTTCTCTCGCCCTGTCCGAGATTACTGAAATCAAGATGATCCAAGAAGATAGATATGCCTTCTTCGTCCAATAGGCCAGAAGGATCTTCCGACCTAAGTCCATTGAATTTATTTTTGATTAGGGTAACCTAGGTATGGTTTATCAAACAGGGGTACTTTCACAGTTACGTGTGAAAATCAGATGAGCCTCTTAGAAAATATCGCAGAAGCCTGACCGTTATTCATTATTCGTATCATTTATACGTATGACTACATGGTGTCAAAGTAAGATGTACAAATTGGTTTGCATTAAAATGTTGCATCAGAACAGCTATCGGATTTCGTTACAACATAAGAACAACACTGATTTCGATGAAGGACTCGATTGTAAATATTTGGAAAGAAATCCAACATACGAAAATTGATATATGTAGAAATGATAACAGTTTAACTTGAGGAGTGTAAATTGTTGCCTAACAGTAGGTGATGTGACCTATTTCGAGTTGCAAGATTTCCTTCAATTTCTGGACATCCTGTAAGCGAAAGCAAAAAAATGCTCATTGATCACGAAATTTCGAAAACTGTTTGACCTATGATCATGAAATTTAGTAGGGAGGTAACTTATGAACATAACATGTCAGTTGTGAACGGCTTTTGCAACAGGGCCGCATCAGGGGGTAAGGGTGACTTGCAAGTTTGTTTGAAATTACTTGGAGCTTCATGCTGGGTACCTAAAATAGGAATGATGAGGTTCTGCTTAGAGTAGACTAAGGGTGGATTATGTGACCCAATATTTGGTGTCATTTACAATGTAAAATTTGTTCTTAATTAAGATCCTAATGTTAACATTTTCTTAATTTTAATAACGTGTTAGCTTTTCGCCGCGTACCCGCGGTTTGACCTGCGCAACGTACAAGAGGTCCTTTAGCGGAATAAAAAATGCCTCAAGAATGCAAGTTGACTGTCAATTTGTCAATGCCATCATAGTCTCAAAATCTGGAGTTAAAGCAATACTTAAAAGCAACTTCCTGTACCTTCACTAACAAAAAGCACCCTATCGCTTATCTGGTTTCGATGGATGGCCGAGTTCTACTGAAGAGTCATTCATTTTGGCTGGTCGGAGTCCAGATCACCGAGAACTTGATCTCAACATATGTTGTCAATAGCGGTACCTGCTGGGAAAAACTATTTGTCCAGTACCAAGCAGATCTTTTCTTCACATAACGTCTGTACAAGGTCCAAATAAGCCCTAGTCTCGAGTATTGCTCACACGCTTGGGGCGCTGCGGCTTCGACTACATTATCCATGCTTGATTGTGATTAGAAGAGCGCTGTCCGACTGATCAATGAATCTTTTTTAGCGGACAATCTTGAGACCCTTAAGCAACGACGACGATCTGGTTCTCTTCTACAGCCATCTCAAATGGCTTTCCCCAGACTTCTCCATCTGGCTTCGGCCTCCCATCGTAACCGAATCGAACTTCGTACAGCCAGAGCCCGTCCGCTCTTTTGTCCTTAGGGTATCAAGAGTGTGGAACAATCTACCTGAGGAGGCTTTTCCCAATGATTTGGGATAAAGAAACAGCTCACGAAAAGTTATGTTAGGCTCAATCTAAACGAATTTTGAATTATCTTATTTTCGTTGTACGCTTCACGTGAAATGTTACCATTTTTGTTTTAAATCCTCACACCTTTATTGTCTTTTTATATCTGGAAACGGCGAAACATATCGCAGGATTGGACTTCATTGTCTAATTTAAACCACATATGTTTCAATAACTGTTTATTGTAGGGTGTTTCGACCAGCACGGTGGCCTCTTTCAGGTACAATGACAATTAATGACAATATATTTTGTTTACCTATCTGTCTTCCAGGTGGCAGTTCATGTATTTTTTCTTTTCTTCATTACTACTCAGTGTTTAGTAAACAATAACTTGAGAGTAAGGGATAACGGACGCCGGCGGGATTTGAACTTGCCTGAAACAGTCGATTCTTGTTTGTTGACAGCTGGTACTATAGACTAATCAAATAGGTCGGCTCCACGGCTTGTTTCACTTGAACGCCGCCAGATGAAACATCAAGCAGCTTTAAAGAACAAGGGAACAGTGCCATGGGTAGGATTGAATTTTTCTCGAACAGTTGATCCTGAAAGTTGGTTGACCGCTGGTGCTGTAGACTAAATGGTTTGGTCGGTCCCACACGTTAGAGGAGACGCGGGTTCGAATACCATCACCGTTCGTTTTCTTTTCATTGAACACACTCGCTGTTACGAATGCGCTCATCCAAAAAACGTATACACGCTATACGGTGTGTTGCGATGATACAGAATGATCTATCACTTGAAAGACAGATATGTGGCCATGAATTATCAGTGGCCGACACATCGTACAATAAACAGTGATTGAATCATTATGTGCTTTGAATAGGCGACCAAACAATGGAGACCTATTAGCACAAAAACCACAGGATTAGCTTTAGATGTTACAACGTTTTAAGATAAACTTTGTATTAACCGGTGAAAATGTCCAACCAGTTGCAGTTAGGCAGCGCTATCGTGGTCAAATACCGTGGAGTTGCGTGAACGGCAATCTGGACACAGTTGTGGATTCGAATCCCGCCGACATGAGCTTTATATTTGTTTTCTCAAGCTGAATCAATAGATAAAACACTTTGAACTTTCAACAGTCACAAGTAGTGAAACAATTACATCAAGAAAGTGTAATTAGAAATGTTTATGTACAATCCTGCTTTTCTATTTTTATTTCGTTTAATTTCCTGATGATGTAGTTTCCCATTTCGTATGTCAAAAACGATGGTTCTTCTTACGTAAAATGCAATAAAAAGATGGTTTTGCTATGGTTATCGCGAGCAAGATGGTATCACCGTTGCCAAAATTACGTCGAAAAATGGCTGTATTTCACTTATAAGGGTGGAATATATTTTTTTTTATTATATCCCAACGTTTAGTTTGTGTTAAATTTTTCCAGGCTTGTTGTGCCGAATATCGAAATTAAAATTGCCTTCGATTTTATTGGAGCCTTGAGTGGGAAATATATCAAAACGTTCAACTTGGCTACAGATGATTTTGGAGTAAGTTCTTCTTTACAAGCCTTTATTCAACTTGACCTCTTAGTATGTTAGTGTCGGACAAATCTTGAAACTGCATTTTGACCCAGTTAACCTTAACAAATTAAGCTGAAAATGTATACGAACACTTGGTTCGCATGACAATACATAATAAAAATCGCCCTGTAGACGTCGAAAAGACAAGTTTTCAGATTTTTGCTCCTTGAAAATTTTGAGATTTTGCGAATATAAGATGGAACGCACGTCCGAGGGGTCACCAGGAGACCCCTCCATCACAGTGAGTGGAGAAGAAGTAAGAAGCGTACCTGAAAGATTGGAGAATACGAACCCTAGAGGCTTTGACAGCTGCAAATATTAAAAGATACATCGAAAAAGAGAGGCTGACCAGGCAGCTCAAATCAAGAGACTGACGGACTGCGTAGACAATCTCAATGCCCAGGTTTTTAGCCTTAGTACTTCTTTAAATAGATTCATGTCCCGTGATGACAGTTCTATTAAAATTCCCAATAGAAGACAAAACAGCCTTACCTCACTTACAGAGACTGAAGACGTCGTACAGGGTAGTGATTTTACCGCTATCCAGAGACGTAAAAAACAACAGATTCGTAAAATTATCGAATAAAAAATCCCCAATCAATACCAATTCAATGGACCGCCTGTGTCTGTTTCGTCTGCTGATTCTGCAAGCCAGTCAAAGCACTCTCAAATGCAAGCACCTAGCTTAACCGAAAGTCGCAACTCTATTTCAGTCTCACAAGCTGCTTCCTTGGCTGGCAGCAACTACATCTCCGTCATCTAACATTACCCTCGGCACGCAAGCACAATCACGCCGTCAGGGGCGTGTTACACCTGTTGTGCTGCGGGATGCGGCAATGTGGCGCCCTGTCAACTATCCTTTCATAGACTTGGTATTAAGATTGATCGATTCTGGAATACGCATCGTACCTAAAAGCGAAGACGATTATCGGAAGATAATTCGTCTTTTCAAAGAGGAAATGTTCCTCACAATACATTTCTCCTGCCCTCTGAGCGTAACATTCACGGTGTTATTAGAGGAATTACAGCGTCAATTGCTGATCAGGAAATCAAAGAAGAGCTCGCACAGAAGGGATATACGCCCCTCCACGTAATTCGCTTGAAGCACAACGGCGGCATGTCCATGCCTTTGGTATTGGTAATCCTGCCTAAGACAGAGAAGTCACAGCAAGTGTTCAACGAACATGAACTGCTCTCGATCAGAGTTGAGGTTCAAAAGAACTCTCGACTCATTGGGCAGTGTCGCCGCTGTCAGAAGTATGGACACGCGCAACCGTATTGCACTGCACCTCCAAAGTGTCTCAAATGTTCTCAAGACCACATGACACATCTGTGCCCTCAAACAGGACAAGAGGCGCGCAAATATGCGAATTGTGGAGGGGACCATGCGGCCAACAGTTCTACCTGTAAAATCTTACGCAAACGCAGCGTAGGTTGAAATTCTAGCTGCCCCTGCTGTCCCGAGCTCATCTTCGACTGCTCAAAACGTGGACCTGGCAACAGCGCTCAGGTCCTTGCGGCAGATAATTAGTCCCCTGATACACAGGCCTTGCAGGTGATCTTTCCGATAAATGGCTAGGTAAAATAGTATACAGCCTGCATTCATCAAAATTCTTTTCTGGAATTGTTTGGGTCTTAGGGATATTCCCAAAAAACGGGAATTTCATCAAGTACTTTTCGATGAGAGTATAGATGTGGTTCTGCTGCAGGAAACATTGCCTAATCCGGGAGATCGTCTAGCTTTCCCGAATTATGATGTTATCTGAGCTGATAGATTAACTGGACGGGGTGGCGGCTAGGCAGTGCTAGTGAAACGTGGTATTGACTACCATAGAAGCACAAATACCGAAATGCAGAGCATTGAGGCGGCTTCCGTGGAGGTCAATATGACGGGAGGTATCCCGTTGAAGATCGCATCGGTGTATGTCAGGTGTGGTGCCAGGCTGCAGGAGGCGGACCTGGAAGTTCTTATGGACTACTCTGGTCCGCTTATTGTAGCAGGAGACTTCAACTGCAAACACAGAGCATGGCATTCTAGGTTGAATTCCACCAGTGAGATTCGACTGTACAACCATGTGATATGAAACGGCTACCTCATACACAGTACTGAAGAGCCCAGGCAGCACCCATTTAATCACCTTCGGGCTCCAGATGTCATCGACTTTGCAATATCTAGAAACTGTAGATACAGTATCACTTCTCGAATCATGTATGACATTTCTAGCGATCATCTTCCTGTCGTACTGGAAGTAGGTAATGAACAAACCTTGGAAGAGTGAACTTCTCCAAGGTAACGGGTTGATTGGGAGCTATACAGGTCGCTCCTTAGAGAGTTCCCCAATATCCCGATCATAGATGATGAGAACGATATAGATGCTGCTCAAGCGGAGTGGACAAGTTCCGTTCAGCAAGCTCTGCAGCGTGCAGCTGTACTTCCTGTACAACAACACGGCAGACCTTTTCTGCCTGCAGACATTTGTCAGAAAATTTCTGACAAAAGGGCTGCAATTAAGCAAGCGAAAAGGTCTTCTCATCCTGATGACATTCGCAGGGCGACGAATCTTGTTCATGAAGTAAGAAATGCTCTCCATGAATTCCGCAATGAGTAATGGAACGACTTTCTGGCGGGGATACTTGACTCAAGTACTCCTCTCTGGAAAGTGGCGAAGTCGCTCAGAAACGGAAAGAGAGAACAACATCCACGGTCCTGAGGGCATAGTTTTCAGGACAGAGGACAAGGTCGAAGTTTTCGCGGATGCTATAGGACAACAGTTCTCTCCCAACTATGATCTTGATAATGATTTCGACCATAAGCCACAAATTGTAAGATCCATCAGGAGATATTTAAGGGCCTACGGCGTCAGTGATCCCGGCGCCGCCATTAGTGATTCTTCCTCAGAAGATTATTTTTCGGAAGATTCTTCAGCTCAAGAGTTGTACAACACATCAGCGGCTTCTCCTGAGATCCCGCATTGCACACCAGCAGAGCTTCAAGGTCATATTAAAGACCTCAAGGTGAGTAAAGCACCTGGGGAGGATCAAATCACTAATAAGGCGCTGAAGCTGCTTTTACGGAAGTCCTTGCCTTATCTCGTGGCTATTATCAATGCCATGCTAAGGACCCAGTACTTTCCATCGGCGTGGAAAACTGCGGAAGTTATAATGATTCCAAAGAAGCTGGGATCGATATTTCCCCAGGACTATCGTCCCATTAGCATACTATCTGCCCCGTCTAAGCTCGCTGAAAAGGTGATTCTACGTCACCTTGCGAATTTCTCGACAGATCACCATGTGACGACGTGCAATTTGGATTTCGGTCTGAGCATAGTTACAGGCGGTTAGGCTTGTAGAGAGAGTTACCAGGGGCTTCACCCTTAACGAAAGTACTGGCATCTTGCTTCTGGATGTCTCGAAGGCATTTGACAAGGTGTGGCACAAGGGCCTTCTCGATAAATTAATCCAAAAGGGCTTTACATTTTACCTCCTAAAACCTTTGTAATCCTTCCTTGAAATTAGGAAATCTGGTTCACGACAGGTTACAACGTGCGGTGGATGAGGCATTGGAATGGGCATATCGGTGGCTAATCAAAATTAATTACTCGCACACGCAGGCTATCTATTGTACTAAAAAACGTAGCGGCGCCCTGCCTGATGTTTCAGTGAATGGAGCTTGCATACCATGGGGAAATTCTGCTAAAGTATTTCGGTGTCACTCTTGGCAGGGGGATGACCTGGGAGAATCACACTGAAGCATTAACAAAACTAAATTCCAAATTACGTTTCGGCAACTCTACCCTTTGCTATGTGGAACCTCAAAATTAAGTTTGGTTAACAAAGTTCGGCTATACAAGATGGTTATCAGACCAGCAATCACTTAAGCATGTGCAGAATGGTATTTTCTTGCCAAAACACATATGCGTAATCTGCAGATTTTGCAGAACAGAACCTTGCGAACCATCACTAACGCACCGTGGTATGTCCCCAGCGAGACCCTTCACAGGGACCTCGACATCCCTTACCTAAGGACACACACACATCAGACACAGTTACGTTATAGTCAAGCGGAATCGCACAGCAACCCTCTGTTGCGTGAGTCAGTAGACTACACAGTCGAGCAAGTTCGCAAGCACACAAGACCGCGGCTCGTACTGTGAAAATTTCGATTTTTGGAACACAAAAATTCCTAAATTAATTTTTGGATTAATTTAAAATAACCTTTAACAGGCGCACTTCACTCTCTTTGCTCTTCCCCCTTCCATCATTTCTTCTTCCTTTCTTTCTCCCTGACTTGGTCTGGTATCTGCGCAACCAGACCTGACAGACTTACTGACCTACGATACTTTAACAAAGACCGAAGGTCCCACGGACCGCTCTGACGGACAATGACGATTAGAGAATACATAATAAATGCCGCTATTGTGAATTTAGTATAGCGGATGCTACAAAATGAGAATTTATAATTTCCCTATACATGGATATCAAAATGAAAGCACTTCATGAGAGAAACACAATTTAAGCAAAGTGACGACATTCTAAGTCCAATGTGGCAGCTGCCACAAAATGGCGATTTATAATCTCCAAAGTGACACTATGGTCTGGGTGTTGAATGAAACTGCTTGATGAGGGAAACACAATAAGCAAAGTGGCGTTATTCAAAATCCAATGGAATGGCCGCCGCAAAATAGTATTTTATCATTTCCACAGTAACACCTATGATATGAGTATCTCATCAAAAGGCATGATGAGCGAAATACAATAAATAAGATGGCGTGACTTTAAATCCAATATGGGGAACGTGGTTCTAGGGTCTAATGATTGAGTTAATCGAATATTGTTTAAAATTGATACTCATCTATGGTAACCGTTCCAAATTTCAGCTTTTTACAGATAGATCGCTCAAATATGGGTATCTACGTTTTATTTGTTCGATCATTTGGACAAGCATACTAAAGACTTATCTACGTAGTACAGCGTAAAGTTGCTCAATTGTACCATTTACTATACGTCAAATAATTCTACTGTGGTTTCTTTGAATTAAATGTAAAAGTAATTCAACATGTTTTTTAACAAAATAAACAACTTAAAACTTATGTAAATACTGACAGTTTAGAATTTTGAGCCTTTTAAAAAAATATTGCAAACACTACAGTTTGTCAAACCAGTTCGTTAAAGTCTACCACGCGGTTTGTAAATTGTTCCTTACCAAAAAGCATTAGATTGCCATAGTTAATTAAGCAATTTGTTTAACCAACTTACACACACAGATCATAATTTGAAACAGAGGTAAGGTATCACTAAACATAAGAATCACAGATTTGGAATGTATTGGTGAATCAAAAACATTATCGTAACTAACAACTAACAATACTTATTTAAATCAAGCACACGTATCACACATTGTTTGCACCTGACCATATCCTCTATAAGAGATACACAGGTACAATTTAGCACAAGAAACAGTGTTACAAATTGCCGAACCGTATTGATTAACACAAATTGTTTGGTTTCTCTTGAAGAAACTGAGGCTTGGTTAAATTTGACCGATCAAAGTCATTGTTAAACAATCAGTAATCATGAATAATGCCATCTCAACTCGAAGAAAGCGATTTTTGGCACAAAAAATATTATTTAAGATTGTATAATACCGCGTAAACATGTTAATCAGAAACCAGCAAATATTAAGTTTTATCAATTCCCCAAGAGGCTAAACAGAGGTGGTACCTACAATTTAAAAACCGATACAATATACCGCAATTTCCCTTACGATTTATATCGGCCCAAATCTCACGATAAAAATAAAGTCAATATGACGGGACATAAAGGAATAATTCTAAAAACATGTTTCAATCTAGCACTTAATTAAAAGAGCTAAAGCTTTAAAAATAGCATTTCAGATTGGAGATAAGCGGTTTTATACTTCTTAACACGCTTTTATTTAAAAACTTCTGACGACGGAGCTTCATAATGGTTTAAAGATTAAAATGAACAAAACAGCTAGACTTTTTGTCTAGCTTCTTTTTGAAATGTTGTTTATTTTATTTATAGTCATACAAGTAGGTAATGCAGATTGAGCACTTTACGTGGATATGTCTTTTTATTATTAATTAAACTTTCGGAACCTATATTACGATTGTCTTGACGTTTTCGTTGCTTCTCATGTTATTCTAATGGTTATTGGTTCCCGCATTGGAACGACACTTGCCTATTGGAGTATTTTTTCTCAAAGCCAATAACATGGTGCCCTTGAGGTGTGCATTCCGAATCGATGAACAATCCATATACGGCAGTTAGACGGAGAATAAAACGTAGTTAACTAAAGTTTAACTTTGAAAAGTATTTTATATTTTCTTTTACTCGGGAAAGTGCTGCCGAGGCACCTAAAAAGATCAGATCATTGTATCATTATTTTGACCACTAACCTCGATTTTGATTTTTAGCTTAGTATCACTGGGGTTTTTGACGACGATGGCCTCAGCAAACAAATTGCAGATAGCATCGCAAGAACGGTAAAAGAAACATCTAAGAAGTACAGCAAAGATATCTTCAAAGTCATACGGAATGTACTCAATAAGGTTATACATAGTGTCATCCATAGGAACAAAACTATATCAATAACGGAGGTTCGTAACAATTTCTTGTAATCTACCAGTTGCAGTATTTTGCTAGACCTTTTGCGGTTGTAGGTATACAGACGATGAGCCGTATATGTGCTCTTACATGTCCCAATACAAACCGATATCGAATGAAGTTATTGTCTTATATTGTATATATATGGTTTATTACAATTTCTTCCATCACAAAACTCGAACTTTGTGTCATTGAATCATATGTGTCCGGCCTTTTCCAAATTGCATATGCGGCTAGATGCAAACTGATTTGTACTCTGGTAAGCATGAATAAATGACACAAAAATTGAGTTTTTGATTAAAGTAATGAGAATAGGTTTCATTTATACGTAAAATCATGCAAAAAGCATCTGTCACTTTCACTTTAAATGTTCCATTGAAACATGCAACCTTTAAAAGTAGCACTTTCCTGAGCATGTAAAAAAGAAATTGCATAAAAGACTTTTTATTAGACCCTACAACTTTTGTGTAAATCTGAGTCGTATATTAAATCTTCTGCTTGGGCCAATTTTTCACTGGTTTTATTAATCTCATGTTATTTTATATCCATTGTACTGAGTGACAAAAAAAGTAAACCCTACGTTTGTTTATTAGAATTCAAGAATATTTACATATCGATTTATCTTGCCATGAACAACAAGTTAGTGATAAAATGGTTAGGTTTCTCTGTTAGCTGCGTGTAATATTTTGGTAATAAAGAAGCATTCGGTTTTCGAACATCGACGGCGTCAGTTAAATGTTAAATTTCGTGTAGCTTATTCAGAAGCCTATTTGTGATTGCTCAAAATGCCTAGGGTGCGTAGATCTCGCCGGGTGTCACAGCTAAGTAACCTTGAGAGGGTTCGAATTGTCGGGTTTCGTGAAGCCAGTCTATCGATAAGAGAAGTTTCTAGGAGGACCAACAGGTCCGTATGCAGTATATTGCAGTGTGAACGAGCGTAGACTCAGGAAGGCCGAGGACAGTGAGCGAGGGGTTCTGGACGTCCCAGAGGGACCACAGAGAGACAAGACCGCCGGTTAAGACTTCTGGCTCTGAGAGATAGATTCAGTAGTACTCGAGCCACCGCTAATCAGTGGTTCGAAGATCATAGAAGGATGGTTGGTATGCGTACGGTATATTGCCGAATACGACAGTTTAGCTCCGTTAGCTCTGGTGCAATGGGACCGGGAATGGAATCAGGTGGTCTTTAGTGACGAATCCCGCTTCTGTCTGGGGATGCACGAATGGTCGGGCAAGAGTGAGAAGGCGACATGGTGAAAGACGTGACCCACAATTTGACAGACCACACCGTGGAACTAATGGTATGGGGGTTATATTGCTTATGGTAGCAGATCACCACTAGTTTTCATCAGACTAAATATAACAGCCCGACGCTATATTCAGGAAGTAGTAGTGCCTCATCTTATTCCATATCTAAACACCATCCAAAACCCGATTTTTCAGCAAGCCAACGCCAGACCGTATGTTGCCAGAGCATCGTTAACATTCATGGATCAACATCGCATCAACCTTTACCACCGCGATCACCTGACCTATCTCCAATGAACATGTCTAGAACACGATAGGTCACAGGCTCTTGAATTTCCAACACCCTCCACAGACTTTAGCAGCTCTTACAAAGTTACAGTAGCCTGGAATAAGATACCCCAACATGATATCGACCACCATATCAGCACGATGTCAATGGGTGTATAAGAAATCGTGGATCCTCGACACATTATTAAACCAGCTTATGCAGTCAGTTGGCGAATCAATCTGAAGGTTCAACCATTTTACTAGTAAGGGACACTGAACATATATGCAAAAAATTATTAAAATCGGATAAACATACGGAGTTGTTTACCTTTTTCTGTCACTCAGTATATATTCGCGCAAGAAGATGGTCCAATGCTCACCTGTAGAGTAACATTACTTATTTTCTGATGGAGGACGAGGCGTGAGGAACTAACTAGCGTTTATATTGTAACGAAAACACTATTTTTACTGTCCAATGCCTAATTTATTACCTTTATAATAATTTATCACACTTGCAACTCATTTATAACAAATTTATAATCAAATCGACTGGACTTTGAGATGAATTAGGGTGTCCCAAAAAATTAAAGTTCTTTTTTTCAAACGCATATCCTCTAATTTTTCCCAATTGACTCTAACAACTCAAAAAATAAATATTGCGATCGGGAAACGATAACCTTTGCCGGCTTTAGGTCAAACTTTCAATTTGAAAGTTAATACTGAAGCATGTATGGATTTCAAAACCTAATTCATATTCGACAAATAAAAGAAAATTTAGTAAATGTTCTTTTGAATGATAAATATCTAAGAAAATATAAGATAGAAATAAAGCAGTGCTTTATTTGTCGAATTAGGTTTTGAAATCCATACATGGTTTCACTATCAACTTTCAAATTCAAAGTTTGACCTAAAGTCGGGTTATCGTTCCCCGATCGCAGTAAGATTATTTTTTTGAGCTGTTAGAGCCAAATGAAAAAAAATTGAAGGATATGCGTATCTCAATTCAAACAAAAACTTGTTTACCCTCATAGGCGGAGACACCCTAATATGTAACTTTACTTTTTGTACCAAGCAGGCTGAGTGATCAGTAAAAAGCGAATCATGTCGATTGGTGCAAAAATGATTTCATGGTTTAAATCAGGTGAATCCACATACTAAATAAGTCACGATATGGAGGTTTCTTTGCTCAATCTATAACAATTATTATAAAGGTATCTAAAAAAGGACCAAATAGAAAACTTTCAAGAAAATTAGTTTAGTTATAATAGTTACTCATATGACTAATTGGAGTATCAAATTGTACATAATAGTTAGCCTAAAGATAAATAGAAAATCGCTATCTATTATATTTTGCTATTATAATTCCTTTAAAGCGTAATCTCTACACGTGATACTATGCGAAACTAACGGACAATCGTATCCGAAACTGATATAATATCATCCATATGTTCGTATCCATATCCAGATTCCAAACATATCCATAACGCCTCTAATTTTCTAGAATGCATAACCAGTGCGGCTAAGGTTCCGAAGGTATTGAGGTTAGGAAAAATCAGAATTTCAAACTGTTTGAAGTTGAAATGTTTCCCTACATCAGCTGCTCTCGGAACCATGACATATTTGAAGCACAAAATTGTCTGCAGATGAGATGCAGTGTCTTCATCACTTGTAACACACATCTCCCCTAAATCATATTATTCTTAAAGGAAGCCACGTCGATTACAAAAGCAAAATAAAACATAAATATCAATATCAAGCAGTGCGGAAAGCAGACAGAAAAACCAGCTGATCTGTCGCAGCAAACCCGTGATTTGCAGGCTCCATTTCATTGGTTAAATCAGGATCGGCAACAGCATAAAGTTGAAAGTGGAAGAATTCCTGCAATGTCAAGCACTTGATTCAAGTTCAGAGTTTATAAATCGACCTTAAATGTGACACACCCTATAACTTCTGTTCCGCATTCTTATATTTGTGTATTTCAGGCTGCAGAAATTTCCTAAGAGAAGAGCTGTTCTCTGAGTATCTGGAAGCACTAATTAGATCACCGCTTTGGAAACCTGATGACGACATTCTTTGACAATTACTATCAACCTTGATCACTTAAGATTTCATTGAACAAATAAAGATTTGTTGTTTTGTTGACTGTGACAATGAATTTCACTTGGAGTACCTTTCATACATTACAAAACTGTAGTACTTGTATGATTCAAACTAAGTTGTGTTAGTTACCTACATTTTCAAATGATGAAAACATTCAAACTGTAACCAGCTCACCATATAACACATAAGTAAATAACACAAAAGCTGTTCGCCCTTTATCATTTATCGATTTGTTATCATTCAAGCATAGCTATTCCAAGCAAATGCAAACAAGTACCGCAATGCTGTCTTAAAATAGAAATTAATGTAAGTTGTGCATGAGAAGATAACCTATACGAAAACCGTGACAGATCGTTCAAAGGTAAAATTAATGATGAGTTAACTAACAGTACCTGTATGAATTCATATACAGGGTGACTTCGAAGTTGAGTCATTTATTTTAACAGTGAGTAGATCTGATCAAAAGAAATGTTTTTTCCTTTACCATTTTTCTGGTAAAATTAAAGTAACAAAGTTATAGCCCTTTGGAAGTTTGAGTACCGCCCTGTCTCAATAATAATATTATGTGCTCGTGTTTGGCGACAACGGATATAATCCGCCGTGTCGGTTCATCGTATCGGAAACAAAAAAGCGAAAGAATTTGGAACGATGTTTTTACAATTATTTTATTCATTTGTATACAGTCAGTGTCAGTGAATAGTAGTGTCTGTTGCGTGGCTCAAACGAAATAAAAAATGGCACATGTTTATGCGGATCGGTTTCCCAATCGAGTGCAACCAACCCCTCGTGCCTTTGTTAATGTAGTACAACGGGCTCGTGAATCAGGTGACTTAAGACCACACAGGGGACTGCATGCCGGTGCTCCAAGACCTCACGATCAAATACAGGTCCGCACTGAAATACTTGTCGGGAGGATACTTTATAAAACAAGGTAAAAATTTTTTTTTAATTTTTTTGTATTTTTACACACATATTTTGGTTTATCTTCCTTCTACAATCATTATCTGAAAATTAATGACTCAACTTCAAAGTCACCCTGTATAATTTTGACTGAACACCTTATTGTAACCCAATAATAACATACAAAATAATTAATTAATTTTAAGAAATAAATTTCGTTAGTATCTCCCATTTTCGTATCCTTTTCGTAGAAATTCACATGAGCAGAAATATGGAACAATCTTCCTCCGTTCTGAAGACTATGCTCCAAAACCCTGAATATGCGGTTGTTTACAATACAATTATATGCGCATGCGGTCAAGCAAAAAACGTATCTTATAGATATGCCGTTTTCTTATATATGTTTTCGAAAAAGTCTGAATTCCTGTGAATGCCGAGATGGACCAGTGAATGTCGACATTCACCAAGTTGCTCGCTGTATATCCGAATTATTGGTTAAATATCATTATTCCTGACATATACTGGCAAATGTTGACATCTACCATACGCTTTTGGTTGTTCAGAATACAGGATGTAGAAAATGAGTTAAAAAATGTTTTTGCCGATAATTCAGGCATTTCTCAAAATATTCAAATGAAATTTACGAGTATAACATATGTTTCTTTTATTGGAGCACACATTTCGCGACAATTTGGTTGAAAACAATGGAAAATGGCAATATAAAAGTCCTATTATCTGCACCCAAAGGGTATGGCTACTTGCACACACCGATTTTGGACGGCCGGTAAAATATCGGCCGACCACATTTTAATAGTAAACCACTGGAGGGCATTGAAGCTTGCACACTGGCAGACCACCGACCAGCACCGGAAAAAAAGCCGGTTAGCAGCCGGACATTGTTACTGTGATGCGCCGGTACCGGGAATATAGAGACATACGTGTTTGAATAGGAGCTTGCACACTCACCTATTATTTAATGGCCGTGATTACAACTGTATATACGTTTACAATGGATAAAGAGATGAACATCGATAATCACATACTTATTGCGCTAGTAGAAGCAAGACCAGTTTTATGGCTACTAGAGAAGCATGGAGCCAAGTTTGCTGCGAACTGAATGAGGATTTTAAAGAAATGGAGTCCAAAGAGAAAAATGAATCCAGAACTTTCGCTTAATTCTCCGACGCTTTATTATGCTGGTACAGTAACCACATTGCAACAACTCGTAGGGATTCTTTAAAAATAATATTGGAAATCAGCACTGCACCGGTATAAAACCGGCGCGTGTGTAAGCAGAGCCTACCCATAAAAGATCGGTCGATATTTTACCGGCCGTCCAAAACCGGTGGGTGTGCAATTAGTCTATGTGGTTAACGGATTGACCTTCTTTTACCGTGTTTAAAGTAAAAAATGTTTTAATAAACATAAGAACATTATTATTGTACTTGAAACAAGCAGTTCAAATACCAAAGGGTAACTAAAATAATATCAAGATTACAGACGTACATAAACAGTTTGAATTTTTTATATAAAATATTAAAAAAAGGAAATGATGTACTTATCACGTAATGTTATTTATTATTTACAGCTACATTTAGCCATGGAACACTTGCTTTTGCATTTACAACGTGTATAGTGTTCTCCACTTTTTGAATTAGCACGAGCTGCTTCTGTTAGTGATATTTCTTCAGTTGTAATCTCATCCATGGAAAGTAATTTTTCTTTACAAATTGCAAACTGATTACGGGTGAAAAGCTGCTTCAAGGTACCACTTTTGTTTGCTAATTTATAAAGCCCTGAATCCTCTATTCCAAAATCCACCGCTAACACATTTCGGGGATCTGTGCGACCAGGGTCAACATCAGGTACTTTAATTCTCACGGTATCACCTATTTTGAAGTAAAGAAATTGTCTCGTGATGTTCAGCGAGTACTTGGGATGAAGAGATACTATGTGGCTGATCAGCTAGTGCTTGAGATGTAGATGTGCTACACTGGGATTCAGACGATGTTTCAGATAAAGGCGTGCTAGGTTGCGGATCTGCTCGAATAGAGTTTTCCCGTTCATCTTAAATATAATATTCTACTCGTATATGGTCACGACCCAAATTTTCTTGAAACGTATGTAACTAGATTTCTAGCTGTTTCTCGGCTTCAATATTCTTAATTTCTCCGCAAAGGAGAGATGACAATGATTTTTTGGTTTAACGCCGAACATGGCATCATATGGACTCTGACGTATTCCTTCGTGATAAGTTGTGTTTTTGGCAAATTGAACAAACGGCAAACCTTCTGACCACCTATTTGAATCACTGTCATTTATCCACGCTGTTAACATATTCAGTATTTATCGATTGGCACTTTCTACTTAGCCTTGAGTTTGTCTATGACGAGGCTTTCCGTGCACTATTTTAGCATCTTTCCACAAAAATGACTCGATTACTGAACTCTCTACCAGTATCCGAGTGCAATATTATGGCATATGGAGCAGCAAATGTTAAAAAAAATTGAAAAAGATATGCTACTTGTTCCTCTCTCTTGGGTTTCAATGGTCGTAACTAGACAAACTTTGTTTAAATGATCTTTGTACACCATTATAAATTTGTAATCGCCATCGCTGTGTGATTGCAAATATATTAAGTCGACTTGACATCTAGAGTTCAAGTCGTTACTGATCTTTGGTTTCACGACAATACCTTTTTTAGGTGCACTGCGGTTCATTTGACACTGCTTACATAAGTTTAAATACAACATTACAACTTCATAAGTAATATTTCTGTATCTTATTGTAACTCTTTAAGCATACGACTTCAACCCCCATGGCCTGTTTTATGTGAGCTTCGGAAAGTATATCAAATAGTTACATGATCAAACGAACTTACCTGTAAGTGATGTTCGATCTTAATTATGTGAAGTCCTCATCGAAGTAAATATTTAGAATACATATCGTAGTACCCTCGTAATAGTATCCAACCGCCACGATTTCAAAGCACGCACGCAGAGAAGGAAAGCGGCACCGCGCCCCTTCCCCCTACCTTTCTCCCTTCTGGCCGCCTATAAACCTTCATTTACTTCAAAGCCAAGTTGTTGCAACAATTAGGTGATACATAGGGAGCGAGGGAGCTATTTACTTTGACGAGGACGAGGAAGTAAATATTTAGAATACGTACATATCGTAGATGTTCAAAGCTAGTTGCAACAACATACTACTAACGCTCTGCAATAGGTTGTACACCACTACTGAAATTGTACGCAATGTATGTATCAACTAAATGTACATTTCCATTGTAACAATTCAAGTTAAGGCTTTTAGCAACAGGTAATATGACGTACCTGGTTCAAAACTTACCATCCATTTTATGGTAATTAGCAAATAACGTAATAGCATAGTTATGTTTGAGGTGCGGAGACTTGATTCACCTCAGATATTTGGGCGTAAAGTACGGTAAAACTTAAGTGGTTGCCAAATGAGTGACCCCGAGACTTTCAAAAACTGGGAAATTCCAATTTCAGTATTATTCAACCCAATCCGGATGTTGTCTGTTTCAATTAGCTTGCACACTCTGACCTGAGGTTCTACAGGGCTTACCAGCAACCCCTTTGGTTGGTTGACAGTATCTATATTTCAGTTGAGATGGCCTCAGCCTGTAAATGCCCTTCAAAAACCATCTTATGTCTGCATCGTTAGTAACCTTTTGGGTAAGAGACTGATAGCTCAAACAATTATATCTTGATCTCTTATCACCTGTAAGGTAAGAAATTTCAAGGTAGGAAACCAGACATGTATTTCTTCCCGACAAAGGTCTTACCGTAATCTAAGCCCACAACACATGATGGATTATCGATGTTGATTGGAATGACAGCTTTCCAGTGACGATAACCAGGGTAAGCTTCAGAATTAGTGAGAGCGGCGTCCTGGGTCACTCCATCAGATCCTTGCATTACTTCTAGAAGTGTAATTTCAGAAACACCGAATACTTTAACCACAATCAGGACGATGACAGGTGCAGCTCCCACTGTTTTCACGTTCCACTGACGCAAACGCTTATCTGTACCAGTATTACTCCTAGATTTTATATTTGACGCGAGCGCAGTAAGATTTCTCTCTTTACACAATTGCCATAGTTTTCCCGCAACCTGGTCCAGACGTAGAAACCAGAAGCTCTCCATTCTATTGATGTAGGATGCCCATCAATTCGGTAGCAAAGCATTCACCACAGAAGAAAACTACCAGTTGATGATTAGCATGCGGGATCTTCTCGGGTGACCAAAACTAGAGACTCCTCCCTGGCCAACGAATGTCCCAGTCAGAGAAATTATACAACAAAGAATTGGATAACCCAAAACCTCTGATCGCATCTGCCAGATTCTTTGAGCCAAAGCCGAGGTGGACCTTAAGTTATATTATGTAAGTGGCAAGGTTTAGTAATGTCTGCATCGTTCGCTCAAGTAAAGTTACTTTCTTCCTGTCACAATTTAATACTGAGCTTGAAAGTGCTCGACTTTTTCTTAAGGTATTCCAGAAATGGTTTTATTAACTTTGTGAACACATAATTTACCCTAAACGGTACAGCATTGTATTGGAAGAGCTGTCCCTTGAATATGAATCTGAAATATATTCTATTACTCTCCATGACGGGTACCAAATTCCCTGCATATTCCAAATCCAGATTCGTTAAAAAAAATCTCTACGGAGAAGTCTGATCCCAGTTCAACAGCCTAGACTTAGGTGTTATATCCCTATAAACAAACAGTCTTGAGGTAAGGAGTCAAACCTGTTGATCCATCAGACTTGGGGGCAAGAAAAAGTTGGATAGGAGCTGGTTTTTAGTTAGCTCAACTATTTTACTGAAAGCACCGCAGCTAAGCAACTCATAGATGGACTGATGAGATTCAGCTATGGCAAAGTGCTAAAACAGCCGCCATCTGAATGGCAAGTGGCATGCTGATCTACACACCTCATCTGCAATAGTGGGTTGATGTTGTCAGTACGTTGTCTGGCCTTTTGGCCTTCAGATGCTGCTCTGTTTATCTGATTTCTATTTAGAATTGTTTTTACTTGGCCAGATATCACTGGAAGCCTCTGTCAAAGTACTCCTGAGTCTTTTGCTTTAATGTGAATATCTGCCAGCACGCACTCTTCTCCCTTCTTTGAACCTAGATGATAGAGTATTGCCACTTGCAGTTAATGAACAGCTCACATGTTGCAGTCCAAGCACGCATCCCTGCGTGCGACAATTTCTATTATGGCTTCCGTTACCTCAGGGTAATTTATTCATCTATCAACAAGATCTTCCCTTGAACTGACAGCCTTGGAACAACGCGAGAACATTAATTATACTAAGGTCGCCGCATCATCGTGGTGATGCGTCATCTATTGAAACAGACTACATGGCTTTTAAGAGAACACAATGCAGAGCGCCCTGCTGTTCGAGTGCCACCTATGTAAAATGTAACGTTACTCGGGCATAATGATATTTAACCTTCGTTATTACTGAACATTAGAACTTTGGTGGTTTCCTAACCGGATATGTTCATGCGTACAGTCCTGTTCCATAGTTATCTCCAGCCATGTGGAATTTGCTATCACAAGCAAAATGTAACGCTAGTCTGCCATAGATGTACCTAATTTCTATATGTTGTTAATGGAAAATAGTACTTCAGCTGTTTCGTAACCTGTCATGTGCATATTATTGACCTGTTCGATGGCTATTCCAAACCATAAGGAATTGGCTATCACAATCAAAATGTAACGCTTGTCTCGCATAGATAAAACATAATCTCTATCTGTTATTAACGAAAAATGATACTTTAGTGGTTTCCTAAAGTGTCATGTGCATTCTGATAAAGATATTCCAAGGTTATCGCAAACCAAATGAAATTTGCTATCACAGGCAAAATGTAACGCTAACTTCGCATAAGGTGCCTATTATTTATCTGGTGATAAGAAAAAGATATACATTGGCGGTTTTCTAACCTGACATTTTCATAATTACACATCTGTTCCACGGTTATCACAAACCACGTGGAATTTGCTATCACAAGCAAAATGTAACGCTAGTCTCGCATAGATGTAGCTAATCTCTGTCGTTCTTTAATGAAAAATGGTACTTCGGCTTCTTCCTAACTTCTCATGTACATCCTTACAATATTGTTTCATAGTTATCACAAACCAGATGGAATTTGCTATCCCAATCAAAATGTACCGCTAGTGTCGCATAGATGTACCCAATTTTTATCTGTTATAAATGAAAAATGTTATATTGCTACATTGCTAATACAAACTAAATGGGATTTGCTATCTCAAACAAAATGTAACGCTAGTCTCGCATATATGAATCTAATCACTATTTGTTATTAATGAAAAATGGTATTTCGG